ATAGACAAAGGTATAGAGACAAGGTAGATTAGTGGTTGCCAGAAACTACAGGGAGGAGGAATAGGGAATGGCTGCTAACAGTTTAGGGTTTTTGGAGAGGTGTTGAAAATGTTCTAAAATTAGATAGTGGTGATGGTTGCAGAATTCTGTGACTATATTAAAAAACATCCAACTGTTGGTGAGACACATCTGCCCAAAATAAAAAAAAAAAACATCCAACTGTACACTTTAAATGGTTGAATTGTATAGGATGTGAATTATATCTCAATGAAGCCATTTCAATAAAACTATCAGGCACTGTAGGCAGAATACATTGCTTTCGCCCAAAGTATTTCTCTTTTTGTCATTATTCAGTATTTACTTCCCTGATATGATCTCATAGACTTGGGGAAGATCTCTGTGTCCCTGAAATATATCCTGCCCTTGCCCTGCTCCTGTTTTACCAGCTTATAAAATTATACCTTCCGTTAATTTCATGTCTTCCACTTAAGCCTTTGCTTCTAACAAATATTCAAAATAGCTTGGGGAAAGATTTCTAATTGAGATTTATCAATCATGTGCCATTTAGTATGAACAAGTTTATCAGATCTTTTGCTGATAGTGGGATTTAGTTGAGGGTAACAAGAATGAGGAAAAACTGGCAAGGGATAAAGGAACAGGGCATTCTCTCCAAAAGAGGGCAGAGAGAAAAGAAGGTTGAGGACATGCACATTTTCATCGCTTAATATTTCAATAGCATTGATCCTATTGCCTACCTGTCTTTGCTTATGCCCTAAACTGTCTCCTCCATTTCTCTGTTTTTTTCTTCTCCTGATCCATATAATCTCTGTATCTTGCAGGGCCTTATGCCAAAAGCCATAATTGTATAAAACTATGTTATATTTCTACTTCATCTGCTTTTGATCCATATCTTTAATTTGAAATTACATTTAAACTTCAAGTTGCTTCATATATATATATATTATATATAATATATATATATTCTTCTCTTTAAATAAAATATTGGCTCTATAACAACATGCCTATGTCATAGATGGCAGATAGGGTTCGTTTGGAGGATCACCTCCAACTGATGGTCAGCAGCTGTCTTGAAAAGGACCCTAAACCATGAACACCTTCAGCGACGAGGCACACTGTGATCAATTAGCTATGTCTGCAATAACCATGGGAGGGAGTAGAGAATATACACATCAGTCTTAATAGCTGTCACTGCTCATAGAGCCTTTTGTTATTAGATATTTCCCTCTGCCTTATAATCAGGCATGTGTTTTACCTACACAGAAAAATTTTCTTCATTTTGCACACCCAGCATGGGCTGCCTTGCTAGTGAGATTATTTGCTAATAATTGTAACATTCTGTACCCTATGTGATACTATAATATTTCATCTACACACATACCTATGTGACCTAGACCTTCCATGAATGGGAAAAATGATTTAAATACATATATATATATTTGACATATAACATAGCAGACACTGTTGGTTGGCTACCCGACACCCATCCCCTCACTCCTTTCTCCTTCTGAAAATAATTACAATGTTCCATTATCCACCCTTCTCCATGGGTCCATGTGACTCAGGGGAAGCTGGGGCCACCACAAACCAAAGGGTTGAAGCCTGTTTGGTTGAAACTAAACTTGACGGTCCTATTCCTCTACCTGGGGTTGGTATAAACCAGGAATCTGATGCAGTTCTAACCAGGAAAGAAAGCCCCTGGACTGGGAGGCATGTAGGAAAGTCTCCCCACCACATACTTTTTACAGAAATAGATGTTCTTCTCTTTCTCTGGATGTTGTTGTATGTGGATACTATGCCCAGAAATGCTATAGCCTTCATGCTGTGAGTCTGAAAACAAAAGGAGGGTGAAGCAGCAAATGACAAAGAGGTAGAATCTGAGTCTTGACACCCTGCATGCACCTGAAGCTTGTCAACTTGCCTGATCACTGTACTTCTAAGAGAGGTAATAATCCTGGTACTGTTTAAATCCACTTGAGTCCCATTTATTGAACCTTCACCCTAACTGATTAATGTGCTCATTCCAAACTACAGTTATCCCTACATGTTTGACAGCATAGATATAAACATTTGTCATTAATCATTACATCTTTAGTGTATGTGTGTGTAAATTAAAATATAAAGTAACTAAAAATTTTTTTAAATAAAACAGTTGAGCCATAGACATGGTACAGATCACACAACTGGTTAGTGGCATTATTCATTCATTCATTTCTCTAGGCCCTCTGGCCTGGATCTAAGGGTGACATTACTAAGCAAAACAATTTTTATTCTATCCAAGAATAGAAGTGAATTTTTTGTGCCAGGCATTGATCTAAGAACTGGTGAGACACCTGTCTCAATTGTTACCAATTAAAACTGGTAATATGTCCTATGAAAGAAAAGGTCTTAGGAGTGTTTAAGAGAATATGAAAATGTACTAAATAGAAACCAAATCTGGACCAGGGTATCACAGTGGCTTTCCCCATGAAGCAGAAGATAGGAAGAAATTAGCTGGGTGAAGAGGAGGAGTTGAGTGGAAAGCACTTCAGGAAAAAAGAAACGGTATGTGAGCGTGCAAGTACAAAGCCCTAAGGCAGGAAGTAGTTTGGGACTTCCTAGGAACCAAGAGAAGTCCAATCTGTGGGAACATGACCCACATGATATTCATGGGGATGTGGACATACTACAGACAAAGTGACATGGACCAAGAATATTAAGAAGAACCTGAAGCCATTGAAGTGTTTTAATTAGGGAAATGATAGTACTGGATTTATGTTTGTAAAGATTTGGAGGATGAATTAAAGATAGGCAAAAGAGGTGTATGAGATTACTTAAGGTGTATGAGATTACTTAAGAGCAGACAAGAAACGATGATGGTGGCTTAGACAAACTAATTTATCTTAAATGCTTCTGCCATACAAATCTTCCCTGCACTCCAAAGACCTGTGTATCTCCTATCCTGACTAAAGCACAATCCACAAACCTTTATGACGTTCTGATTTAACTGCTTTCAATCCAAGAGAGTGGACAAGAGCCATAGAGAAGCATTCTTTGGAACCTGTCACAAAAGTGGACACCCGAACACGTTCTCCTCACTTTATTTTTCATGAGTTTGTGATAGGGGTCCTTTCGTGCACAGGGCTCATGTCAGACACCTCTCAGGTCACTCTTAGACCTTGTTGAGCAATACAACAAGGATTTGTTGTTTGAAAGTGTTGTTCCATCCAAGATAAAGCAATTGCTAAATGCATGCTTCAGTTACTTAATGGACTAAGTTGCCATACAGACAGTTTTGTTAAATATAAGCTGGTTACATGTTGAGGAACAACTATCACAAAATGACAGCCTTACTTTAGAATAATAGACCTCCAGCCCTTCTTTTTAATAATTATATGGCAGGTTCAGTTTTATATTAACGATATTGCTCATTCGTGAGAAAATGGCCAATACCGTGTGTCCCCTAAAATAAGACCTACCCATAAAATAAGCCCTAACAGGATTTCTAAGCATTTTCGCAATAGAAGCCCTACCCCGAATATAAGACCTAGTGATGGGCAGGGCTACCGTATCTGCACAACCCATGCATCTCCTGGCCCAGCGGCAAAGACGACGTGCAGCCCTTCTCATCTGCCCTGTGAGAGCTCTTATTGCTGGACATGAGAGATTGGGGCCAATGGTTCTAAAGGAAATAGAGTCTCAAGAAATTCAGGATGGAATTCGGGGTTTGGAGAGTTATGATGATGTTCCAGAAGACGACTTAACTATATTTGAATAAATATGGATTGTCGTACTGTATTTTAAAAAAATAACACATCCCCTGAAAAAAAGTCCTAGGGTATCTTCTTGAGGAAAAATAAATATAAGACCCTGTCTTATTTTCGGGGAAACACGGTATCAGTAGCCGGGTGGCATGTCTAGAGGCCGCGCAGGAGGAGCCTGGTAGAGGAGACCCACCTGGACCCTCTACCTCGACTGTCGCAGAGGCCTCCGCGGTGGGCGGGACACCACAGAGGTGCAGGATGCAGAGTCAAGGGGCCCCTGACAGTTGGAGAGACCTCGCCATTCCACGTGGCGGGCGCCGCCACCTTACTTCCAGTGTGAGGACGGGCGTTCGCATCTGCTCCTTGACCAGATCTTCGTGGAGCCCCGCAGCCTGACTGGGCGGTGGACGCGGAGTCGCGGACCGAAAGGAACTGGCCCCTCAAGTGCTGTCGTGGTCGGTGTCACTCCCGTCCACGGAGCGGCCTGAGGAGAAGTCCAGGCCGCGGGCCTGGTCTTCCGCCAGCCGTGCACAGGCCGGAGAGCCCCAAGCCTGCTTTGGTGCAGGCCAGTCTGGACTCGCAGGAACGCCGCTCGCCTCACAGCCAAGCCTGAGGCCCGCAACCCTGCTGCGGCTGCCCGCCTCAGGCCCAGCGTCCCGGCGTGCACCGCGGCGGCGGTGTGGGAGGAGGAAGATGGCGGCCGGCAAGCCCAAGAGAGGCGCTGGGGGTGTTCACGTCTCTGGAAGTTAAATTTCCAATATAAAATTGCTGTTAATGGTTCTGATTATTTCATCTTGAAGATGTGTACAACGACACAAGATTATAAATTTTAAAACTTTTGAAGGCTGTGAAATTGGACTTAACATGTTGAGCCGCAATCAGAAACTAAGTGAAAATACACAAGACACCCCATTTCTTTAACATTCGTAGATGTTTTCATCTTGCTAATGCACAGATAAGAATATTTAAAACAACAGCCCAAAGGAAAGACTAACCATCTCATGTCTAAACAATTGAAATTAATCCTTTAAGTTGATCCCAAGGTGTTAAATGTAAAATGAAGAAAACAAAAGTCAGAATCACAAACTGGAGTCTGGAGTTATTAATAGAAGGAAGGTATAACAGAAATGTCACTGTAGTGTGCAGAAAATCTACTCCTTTGTCTCCGGTTTCAAAGGCCTGTTGGACTTAAATGATGCAATCAGCTTGTCTGGTGGTGGAGATGATGATGATGATGATGACGACAGCGACGATAGCTACTACTACTACAATGAGGAGACAACGACAAGACTAACAGAAAAGAAAGGTATTTCCTGAAGCAGTGATTCAGCGTGGTTTTCCTTAGCTTCATTCTCTGGAAAAGTAGAAATAGCAATAAGTGAAAATACCTGCAGAGTAGAGTCTAAACTAAGAAGCATTCCTGCAGATTCAGAGTTAAAGACGGTTACATTCCCAAGGAAAGCAAGAATGAAATGATCGATTTGATAGTTCCATTACCAACACATTTCTAGCATGTGATAAAGTGATTTCACAGGAAATTCTAGTTGATCCTGTATCTTTAAGCTGCTAGCAGTTCCTTTCAAGGTGTCATTTTAAACTGAAAGTATACTAGTAGGAACACTTTTCTGGCTATTAATAGAGCCTGTAATTGTTTATTTAGATTTTATCAAGATACAGCTAGAAGAACCAAAAAAAAAAAAAAAAATGATCCTGTAGATATTATTACTTTAAATACCTATGGCCTAACTAAATGTGAATAGTATAATGTCTGAAAATTACCAATAGTGTTTCTGCAGATGGTACCAGCAGTTTATTAAAGGCTGAAAATAAGCCTGCAAATGAATGAGTTTGGAATAATTGCAAAGGAATAAATAGGTTAACAATTCTGGGAAAGCAATATATTATTTTAATTTCTCAAACTGGCCTTGATCATCTGGCAAATATGGTATTTGAAAGTATTGTTAATACTAACATTAGTATAAAGAATAGTGTTTCTAATTTTTCTGTGAAAATTACCTTCAAAGAAGCCAATAGCAGATGTGTTGCCTATGAAGGGAGCATCAGAGGAAGGTGAGTGCAAAAAGAAAACAAATCCAAAATGTGTACTTTGAATCTAAAATACCACTTTGAAACAAATTAGGATTCCAGTGTTTTGATGAGGCAGCAATGAGAGAGCCAGGCTATTTCCACTCGTCCTATTAAAAAAATTGATAGTATATCAACCACCGCCAGCTAAGGGAAGCATCTGTTACTAATGAGGACCTAAATAAGGGGAAATTTCTTAATGATGTTATCACAGATTTTTATTTAAAGTAAATTAATTTTCCACTGATCTGTTAGCAAATTTTTAACTTTCTATCATATTGTATATATTTGCTTTCTGGTATCAAACTGGGTTTTGAATTCTAACACTGCCACTTACTGTGTGACATTTGGGGAGTTAATCTGTCTCTACCTGTGTTTCCTCATTTTAAAAATGCAAATAAAAATAATAGTATTTACCTAAAAGAGTAGTTGTGAGAATTAAATGAGATAATACATGTTTAGTCCTAGGAAAAAATGCCTGGCACATGTGAAGTGCTAACTTATCATGTTATTATTGTTACAGTGTTATGTTTGAAAAATTGTTACTACCCTAGATTAGGTGGTAATTTGTTAAGAGAGTACAAAGGTATCATTTCATTAATTTCCTTCAATAAAAGATATTCTGAGTGTAAAAAAAAAATGATGTCCACATCATCACCTGTAAGAACATACTTGTTATCTTATGTGGGGGTATCACGCTAGCTACTCAAAAACAGCTATCAAGATATGTTACAAGTTATAAAGAAGGAGAATCAGAACTCTATCCCTCTATCCTGCACAAAAGCAATTGTTATCTGATTAACCAAAAGATTATTGCTAATAACCCCAGCTCTTACCATAACATTTAAGGCACAATTTAGTATAAGTATGAATAAATGGGGTATATCAATTTAGTTTTTCCCATAATCAAGTATGCCCACAAATTAAGGTCAATTAATTATTGTCTACATTGTCAAAATTGCAAATAATTCAACACTGTTGTGAAGACTGATTTCTATAAGGTAATAAAGACTATGATAAGTCAAATAATGGAATAGCTGTGCTTAAATCTTGCTTGTTTCTTAGAAGAGGCGTTAACATAAGAAATCACATTTGCAATTCACCAAGAAGGACATGGCATTTATTAAATTACACACTATTAATAATATGTCTGTCATTTTTCTTTTAAAAAAGAAAAGGACTGTATTTTAGGTAAAATTTGGCATTAATAAACAAAGAAATCAACAAAGATAGTAACACTCCACGTAAAGTCTTTGAACAATTCAAGAGGCATAGAACCTTCTGCAAATATCTTAAACTTTTAAATCAACTATGGAATACAAGGAGGCATAAGGAAGCAGTTCAGTACAAAATTCAGGGCAGATGATCTTTCTTTGTAAAGTTAGAAAATATAAACATGCCACCAATCTTCTGCCTCACTTCCCCAAATCCTACCTCAAGTAATTATATTTCAAAATCTATTCTCATTATTCAGTTTGTTGGAGCTTTCCATATAATTTTATGCTACCAGATTTTTTTTAACACTGATAGAGTTTAGGGTTTAAATTTGATAAAATCACAGGTGGAAATTTTTGACTTTTGTTTTATATGTCAAACACTATCTCTTTTTGTTGTTTAATTTTCTTTTGGTTTATATTGTTTTATTTGCTACCTAGAGGTCTTTGTCAAAGTAAGCATCAGAAAGTGATTTTCACATTTTCTGGGATACCTTATGTGTAAGTTATCAAAACTGTTGACGGGAAATAATAGGAGAAATCTCTTTTTATACTATCATCATGAGTTGAGATAACAATAGGTAACCAGTATATCTTAAAGGCCCTGTGTTCATCATAGTCTTCTCTGTCCTGTAATCCTCTAATAACATTATTCTAACCATGGATAATATTGGCTCTGGTACACTTTTTTCTAAAGGTGAAAATAAGGGATACTATCTTTTAATAATTTATCCAAAGCATCCACCTTGAGGTGATATAAGCAGGGCTTAATATTAAATGGTCTATATTGCTGTTCTCTGGGAACGAAATATCTCCATCAATGTTCCTGTATCTGCCTCTAAGGGACAAGATCCACAAGACCTACTGCAATCACTCCAGGAAATGACTCCTTGAGGTTGATATCAGTTCTGGTAATCAGTGACCAATGATATGAACTCAATCACAAGGTGTGTAGAATAAATGGAAACTAAATTATCATCAAAAAGAGAACCAGCACATGTCTAGAATACAGAGTGTACTTTGACCATAGTGGTTAAGTGTTAAGAAAAACTCAGTCATGTGATCCAAGGGACTCAACAGCAAGCCCAACCCTAATCTCAGCCAAACTTTTAAACCTCTCAGCAGGAACAAGAAAAAAACCTAAAACAGTGAATATGGAGAAGGAAATATTCTAACTTCTCTTACAGGTGTATGATATAAAAACCCAAGTAAAGCCACTACATCAGTTTCCGTTCTGTATTGACCCCCAACTAGCCACATCCTATAATATTAGGAAGATAATGGATCTCAAATGGTACAACTGAAAGTAGCTTAAAATCCATCAAATTCACTTCTCCACACGCAGAACTTGTCTCAGACCTTAACAGCTAAGCTTATCCAGTTCAAGGTAGAGGACTACAGGGTTTCGGGGACAATTCTTATACATTAGATGATGTTAACAGTGAGAGAGACAAATTAGGAAAATTATCAAGAACTCTCACTATAGAGACTACAAGGAATTTACTAGATTAAAAATATATTAAGAATAAGATACAATAAGAATAAAGGTTAAAGGGATTTTTTAAAAGTAAGAAAAAAACCTTAAAATCCCAATAAGATCTAAATAGGAAGATAATAATGAAGCTAGAAATGAGATTTGAGTCGAGAAGTCTTCATGCCAACAGAACTTTAAAAACTAGAAAAAAGAATGCAGAAGATACAATAATTTTTTTACATGTGAGCTTAAAAATGGAAAATAGAAAATTATGTGGGATTAAGGTTTAGAAACAGAATTAAGGACTTGAAAAGTACATAATAATAAAACTATAGATAAGAGGGGAATGGAAGACTTTTGGAAACAATGAAAATATGTTTGAAAATTAGGAAAAAAGTAAAATATAAAAGTAAACTAGAAATAAAATATTTGAAATATTACTAATAATAACCAACATTTCTTGAGTGGTTTCTGCAGGATGAACTAAAGTTTCTATTTCTGCCTGGTATGGTGGCTCATGCCTGTAATCCCAGCACTTTGGGAAGCAGAGGCAGGAGGTTTGCTTGAGCCCTGGATTTGGAGATTACAGTGAACTATGTTGATGCCGCTGCACTCCAGCCCAAGCAACAGAGTGACATCCTGTCTCAAAAAATAAAATAAAATAAATGAAATTTCTATTTATTCCTGTATATACTATCATTTCTACTTTATGCGTGTAGGTCTTAAGTAACCTTTTTGGCTTATTTCCTTAATTGTCTCCTCATTTATAAAATGGGGATATAATAGTGCCTCCTCATATGACTCCTGTAGGAATTGAATGAGTTAATTCCCATAAAGAGCTTAGAACACAAAGTAGCCCAGATTTAAGAGGAGGGGAAATAGATTCTATTTCTTAATGGGGGAAGTGGCAAAGTCACATTGCAAAAGAGCAGGTGGGATGGGAGATGTTGTGGCCATCTTTGGAAACACAATCTGCCACAGCGAGAATACATAAGAACTGGATAACAGTGATTACTAGAGGGGGTGGTGAACACAGTGTGAGATTGGGTGAGAGGAAGACAGGGGAAGAAATATATAACTTTTTGTGTACTTAACATTTTTTAAACTTTTTTTGAAATTAAAAAAACTTTTAAAGCAGCCATTTTTTTAAAGAAATGCAACAAATGATGATTAAATGGACAAATTTTTCCTTGAGTTCATTGCCTCCATTATTTAAGTTCCATAATCTCCATGTCCAGCAAACACCTCACTCCACCTTCAAGTTTATATTTCCCAACACTGTAACTGAAATTCCACCAAGGCATTCTTGTATTCTTTTGGAACTATACCACAGTTCAAATCATGGCATGTGCTCATTCTAATACACATGGCACCCTTCTTATATGTTGTAAGTTGACATGAGAATTTAGAAGCTTTTAATCATATTCTTTATAAAATAATTTTATATATTCTTTTTAAAAATGTCATATAATTATGTTTAAGATATTAAGATAGCCGTATGCTTTTAAATCAAATATATTCTACATATAACAA